TGGGGGGTCCTGGGGGGGTCTTGGAGGGGTTTGAGGGGTCCTGGGGGTGTCCAGGATGGTCCTGGGGGGGGGTCCTGGGGGGGTTCTGGAGGGTCTGGGGGGGATCTGAGGGGTCCCTGGGGCTGGCTCAGGGGGTCCCAAGGGGTATCCCGGGGGTCTAAGGGGTTATCCTGGGTCTGTCCCGGGTCTATCCCAGTTTAACCCTGGTCTAACCCTGGTTTAATCCCAGTTTAGTCCCAGTTTAATCCCGGGTTAATCCCGGTTCTATCTGCCCCAGCCCCACGCCCTGGGTGTGGTGGCGCCAGTTGAATGGATCTGGGTGTCCCAGGGGTATCCCAGGGGTGTCAGGGAATTCTAGGGATTATCCCAGTTTAATCCTGGTTTAATCCTGATCTAATCCCGGTCTAATCCCGGTTTCATCCTGGTTTAATCCCAGTTTAACCCCGGTTCTGTTCCAGCCCCACGCCCTGGGTGTCGTGGCGCCGGCTGAACGGGTCTGGGTGTCCCGGGGGTATCCCAGGAGTGTCAGGGACTATCCTGGGTTTATCCCAGTTTAATCCCAGTTTAATCCCGGTTTAATCCCGGTTTAGTCCCAGTCTAACCCCGGTTTAACCCCGGTTCTGTTCCAGCCCCACGCCCTGGGTGTCGTGGCGCCGGCTGAACGGGTCTGGGTGTCCTGGGGATATCCCAGGGGTGTCAGGGACTATCCCGGGTTTATCCCAGTTTAATCCCGGTTTAATCCCGGTTTAGTCCCAGTCTAACCCCGGGTTAATCCCGGGTTTATTGCAGCCCCACGCCCTGGGTGTCGTGGCGCCGGCTGAACGCGCCGCTGCCGCCGGGCCGGGCCGTGCTGGACAATTTCAACCACACGCTGCGGCTGCGCGCCGTCAGCGAGGCCGACGACGGCGAGTACGAGTGCACGGCCACCAACGGATGGGGGGGCGGGGCTGTTTGATGTCCCCAGGTTTTGGTGTCCCCAATGATGTCCCCAGTGTCCCCTCCTTGCAGAGGTGCCAGACTTGGGGCGCTGGTCATGTCCCCAGGGATGCTTTCTGGTGTCCCCAGTGGTGTCCCCAATGTCCCCAGTGGTGTCCCCGATGTCCCCAATGTCCCCAATGTCCCCGCAGAGCTGCCAGACTCGGGGCGCCGCACGCTGCGGGACGGGGCGCTGATCCTGTCCCCTGGGATGGTTTTTGGTGTCCCCAATGGTGTCCCCAAAGTCCCCACTGTCCCCAATGTCCCCGCAGAGCTGCCGCACTCGGGGTGCCGCTCCCTCCGTGACGGGGCTCTGATCCTGTCCCCTGGGATGGTTTTTGGTGTCCCCAATGGTGTCCCCAGTGTCCCCAGTGTCCCCAATGTCCCCAGTGGTGTCCTTGATGTCCCCTCAGAGCTGCCGGACTCGGGGCGCCGCACGCTGCGGGACGGGGCGCTGATCCTGTCCCCAGGGATGGTTTCTGGTGTCCCCAATGTCCCCAATGTCCCCAGTGGTGTCCTTGATGTCCCTACAGAGCTGCCGGACTCGGGGCGCCGCACGCTGCGGGACGGGGCTCTGATCCTGTCCCCAGGGATGGTTTTTGGTGTCCTTGGGATGGTTTTTGGTGTCCCCAATGTCCCCAATGTCCCCAATGTCCCCAATGTCCCCAATGTCCCCAATGTCCCCAATGTCCCCACAGAGCTGCCGGACTCGGGGCGCCGCACGCTGCGGGACGGGGCTCTGATCCTGTCCCCAGGGATGGTTTTTGGTGTCCTTGGGATGGTTTTTGGTGTCCCCAATGTCCCCAATGTCCCCAATGTCCCCACAGAGCTGCCGGACTCGGGGCGCCGCACGCTGCGGGACGGGGCGCTGATCCTGTCCCGCCTGGAGCCCAACGACTCGGCGGTGGCGCAGTGCGAGGCCAGCAACAGCCACGGGCGGCTCCTGGCCAACGCCTTCGTCTACGTCGTGGGTGAGTCACCCCAAAGCCCCCCGGGACCCCCCAAAACCCCCCAAAACCCCCTAGGACCCCCCAGAATCTGCTCAATGTCCCCCCAAAATCCCCCTAAAATCCTCCAAACCCCCAAAAATCTGCTCAATATACCCCAGAATCTGCTCAATATGCCCCCAAAACTCCCCAAAGTCCTCTCAATATACCCCGAAAATCCCCCTAAAACCCTCCAAAGCCCCCAAAATCTGCTCAATATCCCCTGGGAGCCCCAGGACCCACCCTGGGGATGGATTTCGGATCCCAGGGATGGATTTTGGGGTCCCTGGGGATGGATTTTGGGGTTCTGGGATGGATTTTGGGGTCCCAGGGGTGGATTTTGGGACTCTGGGATGGATTTGGGATCCCGGGATGGATTTTGGCGTCCCAGGGTTGGATTTTGGGACACTGGGGATGGATTTCAGATCCCAGGGATGGATTTTGGGATCCTGGGGATGGATTTTGGGGTTCCAGGGATGGATTTTGGGGTCCCAGGGATGGATTTTGGGATGCTGGGGATGGATTTTGGCGTCCCAGGGATGGATTTTGGGATCCTGGGGATGGATTTTGGGGTCCCTGGGATGGATTTTGGGTCCCTGACCCCCAAACCCCCCCAGAGCTGCCGGTGCAGATCCTGACGCCGAACTCGTCGCTCTACGCCGTGGTGGAGAACCAGACAGCGTTCCTGCACTGCCGGGCCTTCGGGGCCCCCGCGCCCACCGTGGAGTGGTGAGAGCCCCCAGACCCAAAACAGCCCCACATCTGATCAAATCCCGCCCCAAAACCCCCCAAAATCTGCTCAGGACCCCCTAAAAACCCCTGAAATCTGATCAAAACCCATCCCAGGACATGCCAGAACCCCCCAAAATCTGCTCAATCTCCCATCCAGGAACCCCGAAATCCCCCCAAAATCCCCTCAGATCCCTGAGAAACCCCAAACCCCTCTGCTCACTGTGCCCACCGTGGAGTGGTGAGAGCCCCCAGACCCAAAACACCCCCAAATCTGATCAAATCCTGCCCCAAAACCCCCCAAAATCTGCTCAGGACCCCATAGAATCTGCTCAGAACCCCCCAAACCCAGTTCAGGACCCCCCAAACCCTGCCCAGGACCCCCCAAACCCTGCCCAGGACCCCCCAAACCCTGCTCAGGACCCCCCAAACCC